AAAAAAAAAAAAAAAAAAAAAAAAAAATTCTCACAGTGATTGGCACTTCGACTTTTAGAGGTGGGATCTCGCTAAATTGCTAAATTGGCTGGGCTTGAATGTGTAGTCTCTCTGCCTCAGCCTCCTGTAGTGCTGGGCTTACAGATTTGTGCCCCACCAGTCCAGGCTACACTTTTCTAAATTCTTTAGCATTTTTCGATGTACTGAATCCTTTAATTTCCTTTTTTGTTTATGTACTATAGTTTGTTTTTTCATTCTACCCACTTTGACCCTACTCCCAGAAAACTTTCTAGTGGCCCAACTGGCACTAATCTTTTGCCTTCCTGGGTTTAATCCATTATAGGTTGGGATAATTTCTCAATGTATCTAAACTTTACAGCCTAAAAACTGAGAAGTTACTCTTTGTAAACTATTTCTTTGGAGGGGGCAGTGATGGGTATTGAACACAGGGCTGGTGCATTTAGCTACAACTTCATTCGGCCCTTTTAAAGTTTTTATTTCTTTTGAGACAAGTTATCTCTAAATGACTAAATTGCCTAGGCTGGGCTTGAACTTGGAATTTTCCTACCTCAGCCTCTCAGAGTGCTGGGATTACGGACATGCACCACTAAGTCCTACTTCTTTGTAACACTTTATACTTTAGAACACATGGTAGAAAATGAAAGATTTTATTAACTCAGTAGATTTTTTTTTTCATTATTTAGAGAACACTTTATTGGTTTCTGTAATAAAACCCACATGGGTAAGACTTTACACATTTAATGCGGTATCTCTGTACAGATAGAAAAAAATTTAAGTTTAACGTTTCTAGACCAACATGGCTGTTAATTTCTGTACAATGGGAACTCAAAACAGTAAACTATAATATTTCCAAAGTTGACAGCACCTTTTTTGAAACAATATTTAATTGAACTTTCAAGAGATCAACTTTTTTTTTTAACATCTCGGGTATCGCTAAGAGCAAGTCAATATAATTATGGTCACAATTATTGCCAAATACATAAATGCTTGGTGTTAGTATGCTTACACACAGTTCAGTTCAGTTCAGTTTTTGGTGTGAAGTTCTCTGCAATAAAAAACATTTGGTTTACTTCACTAATAGGAATATCCCTTAATGCTGGGATGGACTCTTCGTGGTATTTCTTCTGCTGTTGATTTTTAGCATAGTTATCCGTGACTGTCTCTGTGGAGTTGAGTGCAGCGGTGCTCATCATGTTAACTCCAAACAAGAGCACATAACCGATGACTACAGTAACAAGGAGGTAGACAGGCAATGCAATAGCCCAGTGTTTTTGAGGCCAATAGCTTAAGCCGAAGGACTGTAGCCAAGATTCGGGAATGAAAGCCCACACAAGATACAGCATGAAGCCAAACTGAGAACTTAGGAAAAGTACAAAGCCATAAATCGCTCTTTCTGGCAACGGCGACGGTGACTTTTCCACCATTTTCTCCGTGGCTTCGGACTTTCTCGGGCCCCACGGAGCCGCGGTTGGGGGAGAAACGGCAGAACCGAGGGAGAGGCCACGAAGCGACGAGGACCGGGGCCAGGCGCTGGCGCCCCGCGAGCCTCGCGGGCA